GAGGGGCGTGAGCCAGCAGACCCCGGGCTCAGGGGGGCCCTCCCTCCCTCCTGTGCACGCACATCCGCGATGTAGCCTGCGCCCTCGTCTCCGATGTGGTTGAAGCCCAGGTTGAGCGAGACCAGGGTCCGGTTGCAGGTGTGCAGCGTGGACAGGGCCTGGCCCAGGAGCTGCGCCCCGTAGTCATCGATGTTGTTGTTCCGCAGAGACAAGTGCGTGATCCTGGGCAGAGGAAGGGGACCGGTCACTGGGAACACCAGGGCCTGGGGGCATGAGGAGGGTCATCCGGCCTGAAGTCTGCAGGGCAGGAATTGAGGGTGCCTGGGGAGGCGCAGGGGGGGGGCAAGGACGGGTGGGGACTAGGCTGGCTGGGAATGGGGGCGGCCCAGCGAAGGGGTGGGAAGGAGACTCACGTGCTGTCCAGTCCCATGAGCTTGTGATAGGACTGCTCGGGCAGTGGGTTCCCCTCCAGAGACACCTTCCTGAGGGTGGGGCTGATCTGAGAACCAGGGGGCGCCCCTGAGGCCAGTGAAGGAAGGGACAGAGGAAGTGTGGGGCTCTGAGGAGCAGCTTGAAGACAGAGTTAAAGGATGGATCCCCAAAGAGGAAATTACATCAGAACTAAATTATATGTAATCCTCCAGACTAAAAATCCAGAAGTGTGGCCACGGGAAGGGTCCACTCCCCAGAATTAGCGACCTTGGTGAGGTGGCCTCTGGAATGACCTCGAGAACCCCCACTTCCTAGTGTCTATGCCCTGTGTAACCCCCTTCCCTGGAGTGTGGCTGGGCCTAGTGACTCACATCTGGTGAATGGGATATGGCAGAAGTGATGGGATGTCACTTCCAAGGTCAGCTTACAAAAAGACCGTGGCTTCCACCTTGGGTGCCCTCTGGCACCCTCTGGGTCCCCGTGAGCTGCCCGGTGGTGAGGGCACTCAGACGGCCTAGGAGGGGCTCAGGTGTGGACACGCCGCAACCTATCAACAGCCACCGAGTGAGTTCGGAAGCAGATGCTCCAAACCCAGGTGCGATGACTGCAGCCCCAGCCAACAGCTTGACTGCAGCCTCACGAACACCCTGCGCCGGCAGCACCCACTGACCTGCATCCCGAGTCATTTCACAGAGACTGTGAGAGGTTTGTTGTTTTACGCCCTAAATCCAGAGGTGGCCTGTTCCACAGCAATAACTAACTAACGTATGTCTGATCCACAGGCAGTGCTTCTCGACGGTGCTGAGAGGACGGAGGCCTTTTCCCAGTCACAACACAAATTGAACTAATGCCTAGAAATGTCTCTATTTTAAAGTTTCCTCCCATGGGGTAGCACTACCTCTCTGCTCACGCTCCCTCTCCCCATGAACTGCTCTTTCACCCCCAGTCCCCAGGCTGCCTGGCAGCCTCTGTTCCTACATCCTTCCCCTCTCTGCTCACGCTCCCTCTCCCCATGACCCTCTCTTTCACCCCCAGTCCCCAGGCTGCCCGGCAGCCTCTGTTCCTACATCCTTCCTCCTCCCTCCCTGGACTGCCAGGTCCTGGAGGGCAAGAACCAGCCCTGAGTACAGCGTCAGGCCCCAGGCATCCGGGGAAAACCCCCTGGGGAGAGAGTGGTGGTAGGGCTGATGGAGAGCAGAGGGGCTGAGGCCCCAAGGCCAGGCGCTTCAGGCACTGGTAGAGGCAGAAAAGGGGCTCTGCTCCTAGTCAGGTGGGAGCTTCAAAACTCAACGGCTATCAGCTGCACGCTGCTTCCACAGGGACGCCGGCCCAGGCCCCGAGCAGCTGGGACTTGCCACTCCCCTCCCCCAACGGCTCCCTCTGACCACCAACCGGCCTAGCTGCCAGGCACTGGGCCTCCCCGCCGGGCCGTTCCCCTCTGACCTGAGTGTGGATGAGCAGAGAGGCAGCAGGGCGATGAACGTGGCCAGGGTCTTATCCGTCAGCCCCACCTTCCAAAAGCTGTTGGTGGACGGCCAGGAGCACAGCTGGAGCATCTCCCCTTCCAACACCTCCTCCCTGCCAC